AGGACCCGGCTTGGCGGCCCCTTCTCCCCCCGGGCGGCTGCAGGTGAAGCTGTGAGTTGGAGGAGGAGAGGGAGGGGAGGGGCTCCGTGGGTGGAAAGGTTTGTGGCTCTGGGGGGGCCAGGACAGAGCTGCCACACTGAGGCTGGGGGGCCTGGGTGGGGGGTCCCGAAAGCCGGGAAAGGAGCCTCACCCAGGCTTGTCTCCTCCAGAGGGGACCCTGTGGTGCCCCGTCCCTTTGGGGAGGCCGCCTGCCTCCCCCGGGGCTTCCATGGGGCCCGTCCCAGAAGGCAGCGTAGGAGACGCTAATTTGTGGGCAGGCGCCCAGGCTGAACACCAGAGAACCATTTTTAGCCGAGCGATGGGGTGCGATGATGCGTGAAGGGGACTCTACTGGGGGCAGCTGCCCCCGGGAGGAGCTTCCCTCCGGAGCCTGAGGGCTGGGGGCTCCGGATGGGGTGCCCCCCGGGCAGGAGGAGGGGGTGCCAACTCATTCCAGGCCATGTACCCCACTCCCACCCCTGCTCGGGGGGAAGGAAAGGTCCCCGGTTCAGCCTGGCATGTCCTGGGTGGGTGTGCAGGGTCCTGCGTTGCCATCCTTCATGGGGCTCCCCTCCCAGGCTCTCTGCCCTGAGTTGGGGTGCACAGGGTGGGGGGCAGGGGAGGAAGCAAGGGGGCGGGGAGGAAACAATTACCATATTCCGGAAGGTCTGCCCCCTGCCTGCTCCCCCCAGGGCAGCCCCACCTGTGGCCCTTTTACATTTTGGGGTACATGGCGTTGAATCCTCTGAGGACGGGGTTCTTTGGGCCCGGCTGGTGTGGCTCAGTGGTTGAGCGTCGACCTATGAACCGGGAGGTCAGGGTTCGATTCCCAGTCAGGGCACAGGCCTGGGGTTGTGGGCTCCATCCCCAGTGGGGGGCGTGCGGGAGGCGGCCGATCAGAGATTCTCTCTCATCATGGATGTTTCTCTCTCTCTCTTCTTTCCTCTTGGAAAAGGAAAAAAGAAAGTTTGGAAATTGGGGTGGGGGCTGAGAAAGGCACCGTTCCTCTGTGGAGGGGGGCTGGGGGCGACACCCCCCGGGCGGAC